ATTCTCAGCAGAAACTAAATCGTCACTGACAAACTCTCCTTACAAAATTTCTCACTAAATCTTGAATCGATACAACTGTTTTTTTGCAAGTGTCCGAACTTGAGACGGATGCTGTCTATGAATTTCCGCTGGAAGAAAAGAAATAAAAGTATCAGAAGCCTTAAAAAGGTTTGAAAATGTGATTGCTAGTGGAAGACGGCCAGCAGGCGCAATTCATTGTAGGTCATCAACTCAAAAGCCCAGTTCAGTGCCATGTGAGCCTTGAGATGTCGAAATACGTTCTTTGGCTTACTAGCTGTTTGTGCCACTTGCTAAGTTTGACGAAATTTGATGAAAAAGTGAGAGAGATGTTTATAAATTTGATATCAGTTGCATTTCCATGGATTTCTGACCCTTTATGTTTTGAATTCATTCTATGCTAACAAGTTAACCATATGGCTATCTAGTATCTACTTACAATTTTCAAATGCATTTAGAGAGCAGCAAAATATAAATTAATTACATGCTATTTGATGATCGGCTGGCAAGAAAAATTGTACCTTTTGAAAAATGCCCATATTTATTTGCATTACTAATACTTATCTTGTGCATTTTGATAATAAAGATTATCGTGTTCGTTATAACTAGTCGCAATATTAGCATCCTGGTATACTGCCTAAAGGTCAAGATGATCAGAGAGCCTTCGTATGAAAAGTCCCCTCCCCCCTATCGCAGTGGTGAATCCGACTCACTACGTGAGTGAGGTGCGAAGTAGGTGTAAAGAGGTGCGAAGACTAAGTGCGCAGTCTCCGATCGTAAGAGAATCTCCCCTCCCTCCGCCCCCGCGAAAGGAAGCACAGGCGCATAATTCTTGAAGCTTAAGTTAGTCACAATGTTTAGGTCAGACAGCAATCCGGATACAAAGAAGAAGTGAGTGTGGAGCCATCGAAGGTCAATGTGCCAGAAACTAGTATGGAAAAAACGAATGCAGCAGCAGCGAATTGAGAACGACTTAACTCTATAGAGTAGATGTGAAAGAAAACTATCCATCTTTCCAAGAATAAAATTAATTAAGTTCAGCCTGTTCTCATGCATATGCACCTCCTTGAAAAGGTTCTCTATGCTGCACTAGTCCTCTAAATGCTTAAAACGCTTCACTCTATGAAAGCATTTAAAGATAGTGCTAACCACCTACTGCAGCGTCATCTCCAAAGTTTCATCATGGTAAAGAATAGGTATCTGCGTAAATAATACTTGAGTTCTGTGGTGATCAACTTCTCAATTGCTTTCTCTTGAGAAGTTCGATTTCTCTACAGAGCTTCAAAGCGATTGTTCTTATTTCTTCTCTAAAAAATCCAATTTATCTACAAAGCAGTATACAAAATTAGCATAGAAATGATAAGTTTTTCTATCTGATAGAAGTTGACTTTATTCCGCTATCATCACTCATATAATTATGTGAGCAGTCTGATCTCAAAGATAACTCAGAGATAATACCAATGAATGAGTCCAATTGATTTACTTCACATGTGTTACGGAGCTTCTTATTACATTGCACAATAATATATAGAACGTAATGCACAACTGTAGGAAGTCAAAAATAAAACATCTGACTGTAGCCTAATGATCTGAATCTATCTAACTTGTGAGTTTGGCTATCTGGATCTGTTTGATGATGACCGTCGGCGACTTCAATTTTCCTGGTGACAGTGATAACGGCAAGGTTTTTTGACATTAATTTCAATTGCTCATAATGAGATGCACGCTTTGGACAAGGACAATATATAGCATCAACACCAGTTAAGCCGGGATCACCGACAACTCCAGGTTCTCCATCAAACCCAGGCATACCTGGCTTTCCTGGCATTCCTGCCGGCCCAGGAGGGCCGGGGAAGGCAGACCAGCCAAAATCGCCTGCTCTTCCAGGTGCTCCAGGGGGTCC